ATCCATGCAAATGCAGCATCACCAAACAACATCCCCTCAAAATGCAAGGAGAAACAGAAAGACTTCCCTGACTCTCTTACATCATGTCCCTTTTCATATCAGTTCACCCTGGGGTACCCTCAGGTCCTTTAGCAACTGGTAGACCTGCAAAAGTCAAGGGACCTCCTCCACAAAAACTCACCAAGAAGAGCTGTCACTTTGAAGGGGAGGGCTGGCATTATGTGCTACCTGTTTTTCTCCAGTGTGCTGCTAAATGCAGGATGGTGACAGTATCCAGTCCTGCACAAAATGTAATTAGCAATACTGTTCTCAGAAGGTATAAAACACTGAGGCCCAGTACAGGTTTGCTCATTCAGAAACCAGCTCCAGGGAAAAAGAGACTCAGAAACCTGATTTTTTTTTTTTTTTTTTTTTTTGTAAATTACAGTGGGTGTGAGTTCCCAGATAAACAAGACTGAACATCAGTGTGCTGGGAACAGCCGATATACCTACTGCTGCTGCCAGCATCCAGGTTATCTGTGTCAGCTCAGAGCAGGAGGGCACAGTCCCACAGCAGCAAGGGAGCTCTGCCCACCCATCCCAGGCACACAGCCTCATCCCCTCCCTGGCACCAGCACTGTGGCTTGGTGTACACTGTGCCAAGCACTTGCTGGGCAAAAAGTAAACCTGTGGTTTTCTGCTGTTTTATCTGCTCCACTGAGGATTTGGTCACCCAATCCTCTTGTGTGAGCATGTGAGAAAAAGCGACTCAACACCATCCTTAAGCTGCCAAAAAGCTGCAGGGCATATGCAGACCGCAGATGAATTTAGAGCATGCCTTGCAGTACAGAGGTCCAAACAGGCAGAGGGAAACACAAGAGAGAGGAGAGGCAGGTGCCCTTGGATCAGGACAAGCTGCAGCAACTTCTGCCCAGCTACAGAAACTTCATCAGCAGTAAAAGAAGGAGGAGAAGAAGGTGTGCAATCAATGCTCCCCCTAAACTGTTGCACTTCTGAGGTCCAGTGTACAGCCTGGCTTGGCGGGAGCTCTAATCTTCTCCAGATTGATGCCACCTTGTCCCTGACCTTATCCAGTGAAAGTGTCAGCAGGCAGGATCAGTCCACGTAGTCACCCTGTCTTGTGTTCTCACAGCTGACAGTATCACGGGGAGATCTTTCTATCATCAGAGAAATAACGAGCCTTTCTCATTGCCTGACACATGGGAGTATCTACTCACAGCAATAAAGAGAGGAGTGAGGTGACTGAAGGTGTGGTTTGAATCTAGAAAGTCTGGCAAAACTGCTGGGAAGTGGTGATGGCTGATCCCTGCCCTAGTTACAGAGGGTGATCAGATGTGAGGGTTTGGCTCCGCTGTATAGCCAAAGGAAAATCTCTGGTCACTTGCATCTCTGGTGTTGGTTCATTTTTGGTTTGGTTGGTTGTTTTGGGGTTTTTTTGTGTGCAAAGAAGAACAAATTTGTCCTTCTTACTTGTGGAGAGATCTCAGAGTGATCAGAGGGACAGAGCAGCAACTATTATCCTCTCTATAGAAGCCATCTGGAAGCAGGGAGTAAACTAAGGATGAAAATGAGCATGGTACTTGCCCTCCTCTTTTTGCCTTGCCCCTTTGTGCAGCGGGAGGGTAGATAGTGGGCTCTGGGCTTGGGCTTTACAAGCAAGGCAGCATCTGCTCTCAGGGTACTGCAACATTTGTATGATCTTGGTGTCTGCTGGTATGCCAAAGGCCTGGGAGGAGCAGCAGAACAGGAGTTAAAATATCAGTGTGGGTGCAGCAAGTGGGAAGGCCAAAAACAGCCATGAAATCCAGGAAAGAGAACAGATAACAGCAAGGAAACGGCAGGTGCTGGGTGGGGGGGTGACGACACCAAGGCCATACCACCGATAAGGCCACCACGCAGACGTGAGCGATGTGATGCAATCCAATTTGGACTCCTGCCATCTTGTGCCCACTCAGTTGGAAAGCCTGCAAACAGAGCTGCAGTCTCCTGGGAGGGGAAAGGTGTGATAAGGGCTCATGATGCGACAAGTGATCCCAGGTCAGTGCGTGGACATGGACTGGTGGGTGCCAAGGGAACAAGCACAAAGGCAGGGGCAGTGCCACAAGCGAACAAGGATGAGATTGGTTGTGGAAGCAGGAGTCTCCTTCCTTGTTGCCACTGTCTCCAGCACAGTTTATCTGCCTTGCTGGTGACAAGACTGGGACCTTCATACCTGCCCCTTGTACGCATCTTGCTGGTAAAAGTGCAGGGAGGATGTGGCAGAGCCAGCTGGAGCCACTTGGCCAATGTGAGGGCAAGCAGCCACTAGAAAACCTCCTGTCTTACCCAAAGAAGAATTCCCCCACCTCTTCTTCGAGAGGGACAGGAGACTGAACTTTTGTTAGGGGTTTCAAGCTTGTGCTTGCAACAGAAAGAAAAACCAGAAAAGACAAAACCAGTTTGCAAGGGGTGATTCCCCTTTGTCATCTCTTAGCATGTCATTTTAATTTGCTCTGTGAAGGCAGTGGCATTTCAATATCACTGAGGAACGAGGTGGAGGAAGATCAAGCCTCATATCAGGCAACAGCTTTTCCACAGCACTGCTGATCTCCAGCACAGAGAGCACACAGACATTTCCTGCTGCCCTCCATCCAAGGGGAGTGATCTGGAGCACACAATATGTTCCAGCAGCACATCCCAACATGTTGCTCCTGTGCTGCTGCTGGCATGATCCAAAGAACCAGGCCTTGCTTGGGACTGGAGCCACAGCAGGGTTCTTTGCAGCAGCAGCACCAGAGGCATTACAATCAGCAATTGGTATGGGTTTTGGTAGTAAAGATTTTGAAGAAGACTGTAAAGGCCCATGATAGCCCTCATCCAGGGCTGTGCTGTGTGTTGGTGTGGGAGCAGCTTGCAGGAGGTGGCTCCACGTTGACCATGTAGCTGAGTGTTGGCTAGGACCAGATCTGCAAGATGAGAATCAAAGGAAATACATGCATGTGTGCTGGAGAGTGACTTCTGCTTGTGCCATGGGCCCAGCATGCTGGTGGCAGGGCCCTTCAGGGCTCACCCTCCAAGCCTTGTGCACAGCAGGGTTTGGTCAGGGCATCTGTGGCTTTATATATGGCCCACAGAGGATGGAGATCTCCCACCTCCCTGCTGGTTTGGGTTGCTCACCCTCTGTGGTAAGGTTTCTTTCCTGACTCCTCACCCGAATATCTCAGGGCTGAAGTTGCTTTTTATTCTATCATCTGGCACTACCAAGAAGAGATTGGCTCCATCAACTTCCCTTTCAGCTGTTGTAGGCTGCTATCAGATCCCCCTTGGCCTCCCTTGTACTAGACTAAACAAGCCCAACAGGACCCCATGTGCCTCAGGAAAAACTGCTAATGCAGTTAAATATTTACTTTAGTTGAGGGATTTCCAAAGTGGAATAATAATAAAAGCCAAAGGTTATTGAACTGTGTAAACTCCATGAAGAGGGAATACGAAACATGTGCACAGCTGCCTCGGCAGAGTGGAGGAGTGGTTCTGCAAGAGGAACCCTGAAATGGTCACCTTCTCCCTTCCCAAAACGTGGTCACAGCCCTACTGGGTTGCATATGGAAGGGCCTCCCAGTGGCAAGGACATGAGCAGCCTCATGCAGGGCCCACACCTCTCTAGCTATGAGGGATGCTCACCAAGCTGTTCCCTTTTGTCTCAAACAGACAAGGCCAGCCTGTATCTTCCTGTAGGGAAGAGATGTCCTAAGCACAGTCATAGTCAGATCCTCAGCAAATTCAAATGTTTGGTCTCTGTGTGCCTGGAGCCCTCCAAGCCTGCTGGTGGTTTCTGTAGGACACCTACCTCATGTCCACCCTTTGCACACATGGCACATCCTACCTGCTTCCATGCGGAAGGAGAGACCCTTTGCCCCTTCTGGCCCAGACCTCATCTCAGCAAGTCTATCCCAAAGGAGTTTTTTAGTCAACACTGACTTTATGCCCAGTAGTCCTCTTTCCCCTCCTTCACCCTTCACCAACTGATTTTGTTTCATGAAAGGAAGATTGGGACAGATGTGGAAAATTCAGTTTCTGAGAAAGAGATGATAAGGATGCTCACACAGAAGGACTGGCATCAAGCATTCAGTCTGGGAGGCAAAGCAGCTGGGCTCTTCTTGAGTGGTGATGTGTGTTGAAAAGACTGTGTCTCTTACCACTGAGGATCCTCTCCAGCCTCTCTGTCCCCTCTGTGCTCTCTGTGCCACTTCTGTGTATTTGACCTGGGTACCCATGCACACAGCTCTCTTCCAACACACTGAATCATTTTGCTCTGTCAATCTCAGCTGCAACCAAGGTGGTGAGGTATCATAGCACTTTTGACTATGTGGCTCCCCTAAGCACAGGCAGTGACTGCACTTGCAGCTCCCTGCTCCCAATCAGCCAAATTTTGTTCCCTCCAGCCCCTCTGTACCCCCAGCCTGTCCCATCCCACCCAGTACCTAGGTGGGCTTGCTGCAGCATGATGACAGGCCTCCTGTTGTGTCTGGGGTCCTGCCCAGTGCATCAGGCCACTGAGTATCCAGCTGGCTGGATCTCATGGGATAATGCTCAGGCCACAGTGCAGCCACCCAAATCAGCCTGAATTTCTGGGCTTTTCTATGTGCAGTCTCACCACTCAAACAGAGATACCTGTCATGTATGAAGAATAGCAGCTGCAAAGGGATGGTTTGGGCAAGATACACTCAGAAGTAAGGTGGCTGGGGTAAGTGGAGAAGAGCAGCCTTGCCCAACTCTGACAACTGTGCAAAGGGATTGTAAAGCAGCCTCCAGTGCTGTCACCTGAAGCTGGAAAGAGGCACAGGGGAAGCTTATCAGTGGCACAAGAGTGCCCAAGCAATCCATCCCTCTGGGTGTACAGTCCAGCTGCTACCAGCACAGATCAAAATGCTGCTTTTCCCAGCACTCCTGAGATAAGCTGGTGCCCTCCCTTATAAAGGCAGCCAGAGCGAGGTGCCCGAGCATGTCTGCCTGAACCAGCCATGGCTGTGAGGGACCTGGTGGTGGTGGTGGTGGCAGCAGTGGTGACTCTGGTTGCTGCCGGCGGTAAGTCTGCTCTGCTGCTTGAGGGAATGACAGAAGGACCAAAAGTGGGTGACAGGGAAGAAAGATCCAGAAATTCTGGTTTGGAGAGAAGGTGAGGAGGGCAAACAAACAGTGGCAGCATGGTGAGGAAGGACTGGAGCAAACACACCGTACCTTCCTTATTAGCAGTTCAGGGCAAGGACTGCAGGCTGGTTCATCAGCTGTATTGCACCTGGGAGAGGGATGGGATAGGGAGAATTCACAGTTTGAACAGGAACCAGGTCCTAGGAGGACAGCACGTACACTGGGGTGGCAGCTACTGTAGTTCCTGCTTCCATGAAGACTGGCAAGTCCTTGCAAGAACCCTATGTGCTCAGCATATTCATGTGGAAAGCACCTGTTTGTAGGTACTGGAAAGCCACTGCTACCTAGGTGCATGTAGGGGTGGTCCTGCACCAGCTGGTGTGTGAGAGCCTTCATGTCCTTAGATGGGCACAGATGGGCTGTGAACTGTTGCTACTGCTCTGCCTGACTGAAAAAGAAAGACCCACCGAATGCTGCTCTCCCTAGGGATTGCAATTGTCCAGCTGTGCAGCATCACCAGCCTTCTGAGGATACTCCATGCCCCATACATTACTGCCTGGTTTCCCATTTCCTGAGATGTGTTGGATGCTCTGTGGAACTTCTGGTTCAGAGACTGGGAGAGAGGGCTGTTGGAAGATGGTTTAGTGGGTAGGAACAGCTGTTTCCAGCTTTGCCCCAGCCAGTGCAGCTGTGGATGGAAGCTGTGTACTGTGCTGCTGGCAGGGGCAGTGGGGCTGGCATGCAGCAAACTGATTCCCCCTCATGAAACCCACACAGCTGATTCAGGTCCTGAGTGGGCTCTGCACAACACTGCTTTCCCTTTAGTTTGGATGTGATCCTCAGTTGATGACTTGTGCTTCTGCCATCAGTCACAGGTGTGCCATGCTCATGGGTCTCTGCTCTATTTCAGGGGCAGAGCTGAATGAAGAGAGTGGCCTGAGAAAGGTAAGAGGTTTCTGGTTTTTTCCTTGTTCGTGGTTTGAGATGGATATGCCTGGTGTGCCTGGGAGAAAGACTGTTCCCAGCAATCATCCACGGACTCATGGGTACTGGTGTTCCAGCACCAAACCCAAATCAAATCCCAGGCTGCAAGTCCCACTGAGGGCTGTGGTGGCCTCTGCTCCCTGTGTGGGCACGCCCTGCCCCATTTGGGGCAGAAGGAACCAGGTTGCCGGTGGCACTTGCTCCTGCCTGGGCGTTGTGGGAGGAAGAGATGGGTCCTGCTGGCACTGAAATGTGTGCTGTGGTTTCTCCTCTCAAGCCGGTGTGTGCGGACATGGTTGACCTGCAGGCCTGCCCCCTCCTGTACTTGCCTATCTGTGGGACCGACGGGAATACCTATGCAAATGAATGCCAGCTCTGTGTGGAGCAAATGTAAGCTCATGCCCTTGGCAGAGACCTCCTGGGTCTAATTTAGGCTATCTGGGCAGTTGTGAAATACTGTCATTCGTGCCTGGGAAAATCCATGGCAGACTGCACTTGCATGGCAAATAACACAAGCCGTGTGTTGGGCTGTGAGGGGGGACGGATAACCAGCTTGTCAAATGAAGCTGCAAGGAAGTTGGAGGAGCTGCACCCAGCTAGTCTGGGGAAGGGGAGGCCTGGGGTTATCTAGCAGCAGCCTGCAGTTGCAAATGGGATGGAGCCACTTCTTCTTGGTAGTAGCAAGTGATACAATGTGGGGCAACAGCCACAAGCAGCAGGTCCAAGAGGATGAAAATTTGACGCAGGGAAAACCTTTTCCCCAGGAGGGTGGTGCACCATGGAGGTGTGAGGAGGGGGTCTCCATTCTTGTGGGGTGGTGGTTAGGGCTCAGACAGAGCCACGGCCACTGTAACCTCACACTAGGGACAGCCCTGCTGTGAGCAAGCTGGGCTGGAGACCCACCACAAGTGTCACAGGCCCTGGGAGGGGACATCTGTGAGCCAGGATGACTTGACCTCAACTTTTTAGACAGGAAAATGAGTAAGCCTATTTTGTAATAGTCAGTTCCATTCCATTTGATGGAATGCAGCCAAAGTGTGACTCGCAAAGTATTTTTTTTTTATCTCTTACTCTTTTTTCCTGTATTATTTTAGGAAAACCAGGCAAGACATCCGGATTCTGAAAGATGGGGAGTGTCAAAATACCTGAGTTTTCTGATAGCTTTCCTGAACCTAGAAACAGGTGATTAATTGATCCTGTGTGCTCTGTGCTGATTGGACACTTACATTAGCTATGGTAAATAATAAAAAATAACATGTACAATCTTATTTAAACAGCACTTTTTTGTGCAAGGCTGAGGGAAAACACGACAAGCCAGTTCCCATAAAGGGCTGATAAAAGTGTAGTCAAAACATTAATTTCAAGTCCACATCACAAAACAGGGTGTTCTGCACATTACCTCACCCACATTACTGTGAGAAAAGCCATGGAGGAGTAGCAAGAAAAACACAAATCCTTGTGAAGACAGTGCTGGACAACTGCAGGGTTTTTTCTGTAGGAGGCAATTTCGCAAAGGGAAAGTAAAGTTTTTTCAGGATGAGAGAAGATGTCTCCCTGGCTCACTAGTAAACTGCTTCACTGCTTCCAGAAGTGATGTAAATTGAAAATAGTAACATCTGCACTTCTCATATTAGATGTTATTCAGCTTTTTATCCAAAAGGCTTTCACATCCCAATCAGCTCAGATAATACATGGGGGCATGGAAAGAGCTTGAGTGGAGAAGCTGAACACAAGAGACCCCAGATGTCTGCTCCAGCACTTGAGAGCAACCCTCAAACTGAACAAATTTCAGGTCTTGGTTGCTCCTGGTGTCAGGGCCATCTTTGAGACTGTGGCAGGGCTCAGTCCCACCAGGGTAACAGTGTCAGTGTGCATCACCAGTCTCTGGGGCTGCCTCTGCTCTTTCATCTTCCACTTCTACCACATGGTCCACAACTCACCTTTCACAAAATACTTGTAATGAGGTTGTACACCTTGGGTGTGCAAGGGGCCCTCTTTGCTCATAGTGGCAGCTATCAGAGGACACTGACTAATCCAAGACTTGTCTCCTGAATTCAGTTCAGTCCTGCACCAGATATATTTCTGCAGAATTACTGACTGAGATTACAGACCAGCTTTGAAGAGTGTTTCAGTGTGAACTGACACCCTCCAAGGATAGGCCTGTCCTCACCCACAGGAGATCATGCTGCTCTGACTTGCTACTGTACTATAATTGTATACTGTACACCTCTTATTTACAGGCATCTGAGTAAGAATACGGGGTGCATCACATGGTCAAGTGAGCTCCCTGAAGTCAGTGACCATTCTGCAAGTCTGGGAGCTGTGCCAGTGTCGTGGCTACTGTGCTTGATCAGCTGGAATTCATCCCCTCACCCAGTTCTGCACTTTGCTGGAGCCACCAGATGGGACACTGCAGCACCATAATGCACAACAAAGCCATTGCTGACAGATTTAATGCTGCACCAGGAAATAGTATTGAGGAGCATAAAACATCCATGCTCAGTCAGATGGATTGCATCCACCATTTTCTGTCCCAGAGGCAGCTGCTGTCATCAAAAGTTTTCTCTCCTTAAAAAGTTCTTTACCAGGCTGAGAAGTCCTAGCCTGGCTCAGGGTTGTTTTAAAAGCTTTGATCGTCCCTGTTTTCCTTTCCTGGACCCTTTCCACTTCTGCAGAGGAGGGGACACAGCTTGCCCACCCATCCATGGGTGCTGCTGTTACACCACTTGCTCATTTGCCCTGAGGCTCTGCAAGTCTGTTTTTCCTTTTTCTGTCCTCTGGTAGCAAGGGAGAGGTGCTCTGGCTGCGTGCTGCTCTCTGCATTGCCAGGTCTTCTCTGCAGACCTTGGTGTCTCCTGTGCACCACAGGGAAGGGCTTTGGTGGGGTTATGACCCCCGAAACACTTCCAGGGTGAACAACACAAATGTACGGCTCACTTCTGTCCTGGGGTTTTCTGCTCCTGCTGCTGCCAACCCAGCCACAGGCAGGATGTATTTGGGCAGCTCTATCCCAGCTTTCTGCCAGGGCTGAGGGGAAGGTTATGCCCAGCTTAGCATGGTGCATGACTGGGACCCATTCTCCTCCTGGGGTGGCTGGAGTCACCAGTATCTCAGCCCCATGCCATGGCTCAAGCTGCACAGGCAGAGTGGCTGCAGCCCTTCTCGTATTCCCTGAGAGCCACATCTATTTATGTGCAGAGGCTAGGAAAAAACAACACAAACAATCCAGAGGCTCTTCTGAAGAGGGAAACCACATGCCTCCAGCACAACGTGGAGTGTTTATTCAGAAACTGCAGAACTAAAGCACACACTTATAGGTCAGACCTGCAAGGTTAGAGCATGGGCAGCCACAGGACAGTGTCAGTGTTGACTCTACACACAGCGAATTCAGAGGTACCACTCCTCCCCAGGGACTGGTGGGTTTACCTGTTTATTTCACATGGCTCAAAAGCAAGCTGCAGAGCAAGGGGAGGATAGTGGGAATGGTTTAACGCCACCACAGACCTCAGGGCCTGTGCAAGACTAGCCTGGTGCAGAGAGCCTGACTCTGAAGACTGGCAGATCTGTGGCTGGCAAGGTCAGGTGAGGCTCAGGAGGCAGCTGATGGACAGCAAAATGCCTGCAATGCCCCGATCTGTGCCAAAGGGTATGAATGTGGATTTGCACTTCTGCATACAGTTTTGCCTGTTCAATTTATCCACCTGTTTCCCATCTTTTGATGCTTCAATCAAGGCAGGAAGAGGAAGGGATTATCTGTTTTCACAAGCACCATAGTTTGTCACACAGAGCAACTGGTAGTTGGGCTCCCAGAGAAGCGTGTTGCAACCAGGCAAGTTGCCTCCAAATGTGCCTGAAGTCAGGGAGTGAAGGACAAGCCTGCAAGTTTGTCAGATAAAAGTGGAAGAAATGCCCTGATAGTGTTCTAGGGTGGCAGTGGTGTAGCTTCCCCAGCTGCCCACGTTGATCCCTCAGATAACCTTGGGCTCAGGGCTGCACCCATGACTGCAGGGAGGGATATTTGGGTCTCTGGATACTGCCTCGCAGTAGCATTGCCAGATAGGGGAAAGAGAGATACACTGGAGGGTCATGAAGACCTTTGACTTATACATAGATCCAAAGCCTGGTGTTGTCAGGTCTACAGTGACAGCAGTTCCACCAGTGTCAGGAGAGAGGCCCAGTGGCAGGATCCAGTCCTAGGTCCAGTTGTCCCTTGGACAAAACTTTTGAAAGCTATGTCATGGACTGGCAATGGTGAGATGTACCCAAGGTTGTGGGTGTTCCCCTACCAAGCAGCTCCAGTGACACTTGAGGAATCTGTGACGCTGGAGACGCTCAGGTTGCTGAACACCCAGTTGAACTCTTCCAGGTCCTTGTTTAAAAACTGGATGCATCAGTGGAGGTGGTCCAGGGCTAGATGAACTGAAATGTGGAGTGAAAGGGGAGGGAAGCAGTATCTGGCACACTGTAAGGTGTCCAGCTGCAACAGTTCACGCAACCGAGACTGGCCAGAAAGTTTAACTTAGTTTCACAAATTCATTCATAACAAAGGGGAGGCAGCTTTGGCCACATCTGCTCAGGAGCTCTGATGAAGAAGACATCACTGCACTGCTGGTGCTGGTGGGGCACAGGGAGGCACAGGGAGGCAGTGCTGGGCTCTAAAATGAGCCCAGTGCCATTGTGGGTGAGACTCTGCCTCTCAGTACCTCTTCTTCAGAGCATAGATAACTCAAAACTAGGCAGTGGGGTCTGTAATCTCTATGTTTTTAACCATTTTCAAAGCCTTCCCATGGGATAATAAAATCACTTCCTTGGGATTTAAAGTAAGTTACACACAAGAGACAAATCTCTTACAGAGAGTTCATTCCCGAGAGATGCAAGCACAAGCTCTGTAAGATTTTAACGCCCATCTGTTTTCCACTAAACACCTCTAAAGACTCTGGGGGCACAGTGGCTCTTTCTTGTACAAGTGCTCCCTTCGGGGTAGAAGATGGAGAATGGAGAAACATTCACAGCACCAGCTCTGCAGTATCATCAGCAATATTTTGCTGAGTCAAGAGTCACTTATCAGACCTCGCCAGGCTTTGGAGTGACTGAGTAGACGATGGGTGTGAGAAGCTGAGTTAGCCACGGTCTGAGCACGCACCCAGTTCCCGTGGAGCAGTGAAACACACAGGGATTTCCACCCTTTCTTCCATGTTTCATATCACCTGCAAGCAACCCAAAATGTAGAATCATAGAATCATTTAGGTTGGAAAAGACCCTTAAGATCATGAAATCCAACCACTAATCCAGCACTGTCATATACAGCACTAAACCATGTCCCTAAGCACCACATCTACATGTCTTTTAAATACTACCAGGGATGGTGAGTCCACCACTGCCCTGGGCAGCCTGTTCCAGTGTTTAACAGCCCTTTCAGGGAAGAACTTTCTCCTGATACCCAATCTAGACCTCCCCCAGAGCAATATGGGGTCATTTCCTCTTGTTATATCACTTGTTATTTGGCAGAAGAGATGGACCCCCACCCGTCTAAAATCTACTTTCAGGTAGCTGTACAGAGCAATAAGATCTCCCCTCAGGTTCCTTTCCATCAAGCTAAACACCCACAGCTCCCTTAGCCTCACAGGACTTGTTTTCTAGACCCTTTACCAGCTTCGTTGCTCTCCTTTGAACACACTCCAGTGTCACAATTTCTGCACCTGGGACAGGGAAACCCTGGTTGTGTGTATAGACTGAGGGATGAGAGGCTGGAGAGCAGCACTGTGGAAAGGGACCTGGGAGTCCTGGTTGATGGCAAGTTGAATGTGAGTCAGCAGTGCCCTGGCAGCCAGGAGGGCCAACCCTGTCCTGGGGGGCATCAGGCAAAGCATCACCAGCCGGTCAAGGGAGGGGATTGTCCAACTCTGCTCTGCACTGGAGCAGCCTCACCTTGAATATTGTGTGCAGTTTGGGGCACCACAATGTAAGAAAGATATTAAGCTGTTAGAGAGTGTCCAAAGGAGGGCCATGATGAAGGGTCTGGAGGGGAAGCTGTGTGAGGAGTGGCTGAGGGCACTTGGTTTGTTCAGCCTGGAGAAGAGGAGACTGAGGGGAGACTTCACTGAGGTTTTCAACATTCTCATGAGGGGAAGAAGAGGGCTATGTACAGATCTCTTCACTCTCGTGACCA